CCCCCAAGAGCTGAAAGTGAACCTCTAGCCGGTGTGCAGATGTTCCGTGGAGCAACCACAGGAATCATTCCTAGGGAATTAATGATCCTGTACTACAAAAATAAAACTTTAAAACTGGATTAGTCAAGTGTAATAAAATTGAAATAATCTTTAGACTTGTAGAAGATGTTCAGGTTTATTCTTGTACCTTGGCAGTCCTCTTGGGCTTTGGTTATGGATTTTAACACTCACCAAATGTGCCCTTGGCGCTCTTTTACGCTTCTCTTATTAATTAATTATTCTTTTTAATATGCCTTGACCAAAAGTTTGCAGGTTTGATTCCCGGTCAAGGAACACTTCAATAATCATAAATTATACAGTATTTTTTTAATTATCAAAAAGGTTAAGACATCGACATTGCCAAGCTTGAATTAGGAAGTGTCTAAAAACACGGGTCCCTGTAAGGAGGGAAATGCAAGCCCATCACCGATTCTACATGAAATCAGCCCGTGTTGCAGGAAAGCGCAGCTGATGATGAAGGGGTGAGTGCCGTGCAGTTACCCTAACAGGAGAGTGGACCGACGTACAAGAAAACAGATCCTACAAGAAGTGCGATTCTCCTCGGCGTGCCCTTGGCAGTGACATTGTATTATGCAGGAGGCTGAAACTGAGAGTTCAGACATGACGCATGTGTCAGACATGGTACACACGGCTGACATCACAGACCACCCTCTCACTTAAAGCGTCTGTGGGGAAGGTGAAGGAAACAGTGAGTGGATCCAATGACTATCTGTGACCCCCAAATTCCAACTTTATCTGGGGTCTCTCCACAAGGTGACAGAAACTCACCAGGAATCAGGCACCAAAAAAAATAAAGGTATAAAGACTCAGAGGTCGTCAGAATGGAAATCTGTAGCTGATAACAGAATGCTGGAGTAAGAATTTCCATTCTGAAGTAGTCCTAGATAACCCACTTTTACAAAAATATCTTGGAAAGGTAGCAAAAATGGCAGTTCCGGCCGGCCCAATGAACTTGATTCCTGAGTTGAAAGCCAGATAAAATCCTGGATCGCAAAAAGAAGGGTTTCGCTCATCTCATTTTAATACAGTAGAAAGCTGCTGGGTGTTGTTTTTTTTAAAAAGTATCAAAATGGTAAATCTCGGAATATGTATAAAAAACCTGACAGGTCCTTCATGAGTCACAGTGTTGAAGATCGGTCTCTATTTACTCTTTAAACAGTTGTTCAGAAATCGCTGATTCTAGTGCCAAAACCACAGGAAGCAAGTCCCACAGGAGGGCCCTGGAACCCGCGCTGTCCCCCTTCGTGTTCTCAGGGGCAGACCGGCCGTGGCGAGGGCCCTGGGTGGAGGCCGCGTGCTGAGCGGCACCCAGACTGCACCCGCTTTAACCGGCCGCGCAGGGCAGGGTGTTAGAAGCAGAAAGGCGGCCTTTTCCTGTTTTTAGCAGCCGTGCTCACCTCCTGTCGTCCAGATGCGACCCAGCTGCAATGTGCTGGGCAGCTGGGCCGCCCTCGGAGTGGATGGATCCCAGGGCCGCGCTGGTGAGCTACCTGATTTGGAAACTGGAAACCCAAGGGGCTTGTTCACAGCTGGGCTTTTATCCTAGTCTGACCCCGCACCGAGCGGCTTCGTATTCATGTGGCTCTTGATGCATCCACTCGAAACTTTGCATACGTCTCAGTGTGTCCTGCCAGTGTCTCTGTGGGTAGTCGGCTGGGTAAAGGGGCGACTGAGGTACACAGGCTGAAGGCCTAGGGTCACACAGCTGCCTGGGGACGGGACTGAGACAGACGTCTGAATCTCCTGAGTCTTGGTCCATGCCCAGGGACCCCGGCTTGCTTGTTTGTTCGCCCGGTTCTCTCTGCTCTCCGACACACACAGAGCTGCGGCCGAGGAAAGCACGTTTCTGTTTGTCTGAAAATCTGGCCACAGATCTTTTTTTTTTTAATCACCTAAGGATATTTTTTTCCCATTGCTTTTCAGAGAGAATGGATGGGAGAGAGAGACAGAGACAGAGAGATAGACAGAGAGAGAAACATCGATGTGAGAGAGACACGTGGATGGGTTGTGCTCGGCCCTGGCCGGTCAGTAGGGACTCCTGAAGCCCCTGTACTGGCCGTCACTCTTGGGGAACTCCATCCGGATCCTCCAGCGACAGCAGCTGGGCAGGACGGCAAAGTCAGCCAGGTCCTGGGAGCCGAAGCGCCAGGCCGCGTAGCACCTGTAGGCGCAGTGCCGCAGCCGGCTGCTGGCGGAATCCGCATCCAGCACCAGCAGGGGCTCCTGGTAGAGCAGGAGGAACTTCAGGACTCGCCTGGACAGGACGAGCTTCCTGAAGGGCTCCGAGGTGGTGATGCAGGCGCCCGGCTTCTTCCGGCAGCACAGCTCCTCCAGGCACCGCTGGCTCTCGGGGAGCTGGGAAGGGAGGCAGTTTCCACACTGGCACCAGCTCGGGCTGCTGCTGGGCCGAGGCGGCTCCTCCTTGCTCAGCAGCTGGACCTCCTCCGCTTGTCCGGGAGCAGGGGGTGGGTCTTGGAGGGACAGGGGCAGCCTGGACAAGTCTGTGAAGTCCATCAAGGGTCTCTGAAAAAGTCGAGTTTCCAAACCCATCAGCAACGACCGCCCCTAGAGTTCTAGGTTCTTTCATTTTATTATTAACTTAGAGGCTTACACTTAATATCGCATCAATACCAGAAGTTAAACGTATGCATCAGGACTGCGACAGTCTTTTACGAGCATTGCCTCACTCGAGCCTCTGAAGGATCTCAGGGGACATGGGTCCTTATCTCCATCGTAGAGATTTAGAAAGTGAAATTCAGGATAGTCAGGCCTCGGGGCAGGTATGACATCTCTAAAGAGGACGTCGCCTCTTGCCCTGACCACCCAATCAAGGGGTTCCCCCCTCCCAGTTCATTCTCTTATTGCATCATGAGATTCCAAGTTCTTCGCAGAACTTACTGCCACCTGGAATGATTTTCTTAAATCCTCTCCCGAGGATACTTTTTCCATTGAGAGAGAGGGGGAAGCATTGATGTGAGAGGGACACATCGCCTGGTTGCCTCCCGAGCTTGCCCCGACCAGGGCCGGGATCAACAGAGGCACGTGCCCTTGGCCAGAACAGAACCCGGGGCCCCTCAGTCCACCGGGCGACGCTCTACCCACGGAGCCAAACCGGCCGGGGCTGGAATGATCTTTTTAATTGACCTGTTTACTGATGATTCTTCTGCATGAAAGCAGGGGCCCTGTCTGCTTTGTTTATTGTCACATCCCCAACGCCTAGGACGGTGCCTGGCACAGCGTCGTCAGTCAGTGCTTGCTGGCTTAGCTCCACTCCCTCCTTTCCCACCAGGCTCCCTCTCCTGGCAAATCCGTTTATGCTCCAAGAGAAGTTGCCGTAATCGCCATTGTTTATAAACGCCTATTCTTTGGGACGTAAGAAAAAGAAAGTCTGAATCCAATACCTTAAAAGGGAATAGTTCTCGTACTTGGTTTCAGACTCTCAGCCTCCAGACCTGCGAGGCGATCCGTCTCTGTTGCTTTAAGCTACTTGGTTTGTGGTAATTTACTGCGGCAGCCAGAGAATACTAGTATGTTAGAGAAGTGTCTGGTGGAAACGACTGAAGCTGAAGGTGTGCCTGCTGAAGGTGGGACTCAGCAGTCTCACCTTTAGGTGCCGTATGTTCACCTAAAGCATCACTGGCATGGGCCCGGAACGGAAACTACTCACATGTCCATCACAATAGAAAGGATAAATAAACTCTACGTTTATAAAACAGAAATGATAGCCCTGGCCGGCGTGGCTCAGTTGGTTGGCGCTGTCCTGTGCACCGAGAGGTTGCTGGTTCGATTCCCGGTCAGGGCACATGCCCAGGTTGCAGGCTCCATCCCCAGCAGGGGGCATGCAGGAGGCATCCCATCAATGATTCTCCCACTGATGTTTCTCTCTCTCTCCCTCTCCCTTCCTCTCTAATATCAATAAAAAAACACTTAAAAAATAATAAAATAAAATAGAAATTATACAACAATGAGGACGAACTATTGCTATATGCAATGTCGTGGATGATTCTCACAGAAACAATGTTGCGTAAAGGAAGCCAGATGCTCAAGAGAGTATACACTGAAGGGTTCGAATTTTATAAAATTCCGGAAGAGGTAACCACCTGAAACTAATATAATATTAAATGCCAACTGTAATTGAAAATTAAATGTATATTTTTTAAATTATAGGAGAGGTAAAATTAACCTTTGGATGTAAGACGATGACTTTTAAGGGAGGGCAGTGACTGGGTAGAGACATCAATGGGACTTTAGCTAGTGATACTCACTTTTTTCATCTGGGTACTGGTTACATTTGTTTATTTTGTTAAAATTCATCAGGTATGATTTGTACAAATTTCTAGATGTGTTTATATTTAATAGTAAGTTTTCTTTTTTTTAAAAAAAAGAAAAGACTAAACATTTTAACTTACTGGGACTTCTTGGCCTTTGACATCCTGCAGACTCCTCCCAAGTAGCTGCTCGTTCACCATCCTAATGTGGAATTCATCCACAAAGGACACATATTTTAATGTCTAGGGAAAGAAGGTTAAAAAATTTACGTCTTGTTTTGTATAGGATTATTAAGAATCGTGTAACTGAACATACCTAAAGGCAAATATTATTCCCATTTGCCAAATGGCAGAGTGTTAAACAAGTTAACCAAAAACTCTTGCTAACCAAGAATGAATGACCTCCGAGCCTGAAGGCGAATCAGCACTGAAATTCCATGCACCTTAATCTGTGGACCCAGAGTATCCACAACTTACTGCCTAACGTTCATAGGCCCCCAAGCGCTGTGTAAAATTTCTTTGTTGCGTTCCCTCAATTTAAGTTACCCTAGATTGACTAGCTCCAGAAAATTATACTATTGCCACTTAAATTATTTATATTTCCATTAAGTTTCATCCCATCCAGGGCCGTGAAATGGTGATTATTTTTAGTTGCAAAGATGAACTTTTATTTCAAATTGTATACCCATGTACAACGGACAGTGAATCAGACATTCAGCTGCCGGGGAAGGGCTGTGATGTCCTCAGATGAGGGGAAAACAAACCCTCTTTGTTGTTTTTAAGTACCAGAGATTTCTCATCCACTGGGGGACATCGTGGAGTCAAGTGTAGAGGACCTCTTAGTAGAGTCCAAATTAAACAACCTAAACAATACAGATGAGCTAAAGTCCCCTTTGACTAGTCCCCCATCCTAGGTTTCTTTCCAGGTCAGGGCATACACCTGGGCTGGGGCTCGGGCCCCAGTGCGGGGCCAGCAGGTGGCAGCCGACCAATGACTCTCATCATTGATGTTTCTCTCTCTCTCTCTCTCTCTCTCTCTCTCCCTCTCCCTTCCTCTCTCTGAAATCAATAACGATATATGTTTTTAAACATACCTTGAACATTTGCCAGTGCTTGTAACACAGTGGTTCTGAGCATAGGCTCTGAAACCAGCCTGCCTACGTTGGCATTTCAGCTCTACCGCCTCCTAGCGGTGTGACTGGGCAAACGATTTCACCCTCCTGAGCCTCAGTGTCCTCATCTGTAGAAGGGGGCGATAGTATCACCTATCTATCGGTTTGTTGCGGAGACTCCGTGAGTTAATTTCTATATAAAGCACCTCCGAGTGCTATGTAAACGTTTGCTATTATTTTTATCTACCGCGTTCTTTTAAACGGGCGCCCGGCACTCCTCGCTGTGCATTTAGCATAGTTTAACCCGCTCTTTGCCCACCGGACATTTGGGTGGAAGCTTTCCTTAGTGGCCTGTGCTGCGGTGCACACCCGCACACGCGTGCTGTGAGTGTCTCTCTAGGGCAGGTGTGGAGAAGCGGCGACGCCAGGCTGCCCGGGCTGCGCAGCATGTCCCACTTACATGTCATTAGACCCTGCGGAATTGTCCTCAAAAGTCATTACGCGATTTTTTTTTTTTTGAAAAATTTGTTTTTGGCTGTTCCCATTNTCTCAGCAGTCATTACGCGATTTTTTTTTTTTTTGAAAAATTTGTTTTTGGCTGTTCCCATTTAATAAGTCTGACATGGGGTCGAGTCCAGAGTCTTGTCCACTCTGGGACCACACCTGTGATGCGGGCCTTACTTTTGCACGTTTCTCAGCGACCTATTGGACCCCTCCCCCCCGGGTGTTTCGGGGTCTGTGGGCCGGGGGGGGCTCACCCGCTTTGGCTCCACGACGGACTCACACTTCTTCCTGTAGTAATACTCGTTGACCGCGCAGCAGCCGCAGCACTTGCAATAGGGGTAGACGCGGGACCGGCAGCAGCGGCTCGAGTAGGTGGAGATGAGAAGGTCAATGAGCACCGTGGCCTGCGGGGGGCGCGGGCGGGAGCCGGTCAGCGCGGCCGCTTGGGCCGGAGCTCCCGCCTGAGCACCGCGGGCCCGGCGGCCTTACCAAGCCGAAGTAGGAGAGGGTCGAGCCGATGTACACGATCAGCATGATGACGTCGAACTTTCCCCCCTGCAAACAGACGGGGGGCGGGGTCACGCGGCTGACGGCCCGGGCCCCGCGCCTTTGCTCGGGCGCCTCCTCGCCGGCTCCAGCAGGGGGCGCAGTCAGCCGCGGGGATGATCACTGCGGCCGCCGCGATCCACCGCCGCCCACGGGGCAGCGGCGACGGGAAACCGGGCTCTCCCGCGTCCTGGGGGTCTGCCTCCCGAGATGTGCTCGGAAACGCGGGCACGGAGGGTGATGCCACAACCGAGCAGGGCAGATGTGAGAGATGGAGGGAGGCAGGCCCTTGAGGAGGCTGTTTGAGCATCTGGATCCAGCCATGCCTGAAGCCCACCGTGGCCCCCGGAACTTTGTTATGTGAACTAAGATATATATATTTATATGTTTATATATTTATAGTTATATATTTATAGTTATATAGTTATATATATTTATATTTTTATATATATTACATAATATATATTATATATAATATATAACCTATGTTACATATGTATTTTATATATATATAATATTATATATTTTTTAAAGAAGGCTTTTCTTCCTAAGCCAATCTGAGTTGGATTCTGTTACTTACCAACTACCTTATTTTGCAGAGGGATTTCTTTCTCCCTGTGTTTTTAAGCAAAAAACTTTTAAAGTGGAATATTATGTGTTGTTCCCCCCCACCACCACCACGTCCCTCTCGTATTCACCAGGCGACTGTTCAGGGACAGGACCCCGAGGACAGGTCTTCCCCCCTCTCTTACCCCACACACGTGAGATGCACAGTGCCCCCGAATGACTGTCCCCAAAACATCCACCCCTTGGGGCGCTACAGCAAGGACTGAGGACGCGGTGGGGTCGCAGGGCCGCAGGTGCCCGCGGCTGGGGGCACAAGAGACTTACGGTGCCAAAAACCAGGATGTCAAAGCGGATCCCAAAGGCCTTTATCAGAGTCCGCTTCTCAACATTGTTTTCTCTGTAGTACTTGGCGTATCTGCGGGAGGAAAAGGGCCCGTGTGTCCAAAGCTCGATCTGAAAGCGCTGGGAGTTTTATGCAAAGACGAGTCGGGCTCCGCCGCGGTCCGCGGGGGGAGCGGGATCCGAACCCGCGGGCCCGTCCCTCCGACCACCGGGGCCCAAGCGCGACCNCGGGGCGCGGGATCCGAACCCGCGGGCCCGTCCCTCCGACCACCGGGGCCCAAGCGCGACCTCCCCACCCCACTGACCGCATCCCCACGCAGTCGGCCACGATGCTCACGGCCTTGAACCGCTCGGGGCCAGGCACCAGCCAACCAGAGACCACCCCTGGGCCCAGAGCCCCCTGCCCCCCAGGACGGAGCGGTTTGCCCGGCCCCGCCCTGCCTTTGCCACGCGTGGACCCGAGGCAGGCCCTGGGCTGCGCGGCCCCTCGCTGCTACCTCCCGCCTCCCGACCCAACCTGGTGCTCCCCCCGGTGGCCGAGTGTGGCATAGCACGTCCCCTCCCTTTTGGAAACGTACTAAAAGCCTTTCCGCGGCGTTCAAGGCCTTTTGTAAATTAAATCCCAGGCGCAAATCCCAATCACCCCCCACCCCCCATGCGTCTCTCACGTGTGCTACCGTCAGGATGCTAAGGNTAATCCCAGGCGCAAATCCCAATCACCCCCCATGTGTCTCTCACGTGTGCCACCGTCAGGATGCTAAGGAAACAGCCTGCGAGGGCTGTCGGGGGCCCAGGGACCCCATCCTCTCTCCTTGCTGATGGCCACAAGCCTAGTCAGTGGAGCAGCAGGGAAAGATCAAAGCGTTGCCTAAGTTTGGCGCTGGTTTCAGGGCCCTGGATGAAACTCCACTGGAGTCGCCCGTCTTTTTAAATTGTAGCCATTCGGGTGTGTGCGTAGTTGCATCTCGTTGTGGTTTGAATTTGCGTTTCCCTGATGTTTAGTGATGCCGGCTTGTTGGAGTGCTTTATTTACTTATACTTTTGTCTTATGTATTATACTTATAATAATTCTTATATTCATGTCCTACTAGATATTCTTAGCAAAAGGACTTACGATGGAGCCTGAGCTAGTGTAGGAGGCCCACCACGGCCCACCCCAAACACAAAGAAACGCAAGATAAAATCATTTTCAAGTCATGTTGGCACATGACTGAGCTCAAGACAAAGAAGGGTGTTTTCCAGGTGCTAGAGCTTAGCGGTGACTGGGGCTGAAGCCATGTGACCCCCGGAGCACCAGGACCAGGTCCGTATCTGGCAGGGCCCTGGGGAGCCAAGAGTCTGACCTCAAGCGCCGTTACCTGAAGTTGTAGCCAGGGTACACGGACCCATTGCTCATCTTGTCATCAAGGCGACGGAAGCTGTACTTTGGCCGGCAGCTGTGGAACCAACGGTCCAGGTTGCAGTTCCAGTAGATCTCGATGCCCATGATTCCTCCCTGAGGAAGACAACCAAAGGCCACCTCTCAGTCCCTGCTGAGCACGGATGCAGCCACCAGACATCTCCCTGCCTAGCCGCGATCACTGAAAGGAAAGGTTCTCTTTTTGTAGGAAAAAATGCTGCTTAAAAGAACAACAAATTGATGTCTCTGTCGCTCTCCCTTCCTCCCTCCCTCATCTCTCTTTCCTCTCTCCCTTCCATGTTCTCTCTGTCAAATCAATCAATCAATCAATCAATCAATAAGTGTGTTGTTTTAAGCCACCGAGTTTGTGGTGATTTGTTGCAGCAGCCTCAGGGAACTAATGTGCCAAGTATCTCACTCGTAAGACTGTTGTGGGGTGAGGCGAGGGAACGCAGTGAAATCCTTGGCATCGTGGACGGATGTACTAAATGCTCAATAAACGGAACCATGTTATTAAGACCCCGTGGCTCAGCCTCTTGGCCGTTTGACATCTCCCCCCCTCCCCGCCACACACGCACGACCAACCTGAACGGCCACTTCCGAAAAGTTATCTCCTGTTTCTTGGAAGATATCTCCTAGTCGGAAAATAGGACACTGTGGATTCTCAGTCTTGTGAAAGGTGCAGGTGATGTTTAAACCTGGCAAGATGTTCCTTCTGCACATGGTGAAAAGAAAACATATCACTGCTGAAAACTCGGATCCATGTCTCGCACAGGACTGAGTCAGAGTGGTGACCGGGCCCGACGAGGGCCCGCAGTGCTCCCGCCGCCTGGTAATTCACAGCCTCGGGTGGTCCCTGCCACACGGTAGCGGGGTTGGCCTGTGTGACCAATGGCATATGGCAGAGTGATAGTGTGTCGGTTCCAAGGTTAGGTTATAAAAGGCTGCGACTTTTTTCTTGGTTGCTGTCTTACTCGCTTGCTCTCTGTCTCTCTTGGATCATTTGCTCTGGGGGAGGCCAGCCGCCGCATCCTGAGGACACGCAGGCAGACCCAGGGACATGTCCACATGGGGAGGTACAGAGCTCCCCTGCCAGCCACCACACAGTGAGCTGGGAAGATGATTCTCCAGCCCGTCAAGGCTGGAGGTGACTCCAGCCCCATTGATGGCTCCACTGAAACCAGAGAGGCCCTAAGACAGAACCACCCAGCCAAGTCACTCCCAGATTCCTGGTCCACGGAAACTGTGGGAGATAAATGTTTGTTGTTTTAAGCTCCTAACTCGGGGTAATTTGTTACACAGCAGGAGATAACAATACAGCTGGACATCCTGGGCACTTACGTGGTGTACTTGTGGCCGGGGAAGTCGATGTTATTCTTAATGAGCACAGTGAAGTTCTCGGCGCTGTTCAAGAGTGCAGGCCTGAGAGTGAGGGGGGCGGGGAGAGAGAAAGAGACATGCAAAGTGGGGATCAGTGACTGCAGGGACCAAGGGAGGCAGTGGGCCAGTGGGGCCAGCAGCTTCCAGTTTCTTGCTTGGGTCATTGCAATGAGTGAAGAGAAATGCAATCTAGTTGGCAAAGCCTTAAAGTCTCCAGCTTCTCCAGTAAGGGTTTCTCCCTTCTTATTGGGAGAAGAGACCCCAAGGTGGTTCTCACACTCTTATATAATTATATATTTAGGTATGTGCAGTGGTGTCTGGTAAATGTTCACCAACCAGCTCTCCAGTGGGAAAAAAGAAGCCCTGATATGTAGTGCTTACTGATTACTGTGGTGTAAATACTCCCAGTGGGACATCGTTGAACTCGGAGTTGGGAAGGGATGAGCACAATTGGCTCAGGGGCGCTACAAGCCAGCTTCGTGACAGCCCACCTGTATCTTTCCCAGCAGGCTTGGTGTTCCTGCAGGGCCGGGACAATCATTTCCTTATCTTGACCTTGGATCGGCTGCCTCCTGCACGCCCCTACTGGGGATCGAGGCCGCAGCAGGGGCATGTGCCCTGACGGGGAATCGGGGAATCGAATCACTATCTCCTGGATCACAGGTCGGTGCTCAACCTCTGAGCCACGCTGGCTGGGCTCGGCACACATATCTTATCTCTCTCATTAGATTGCAAGAGCCTTGGGACCTGCTCCATATCTGGGTCTTTTTGTATTTTACATAAAATTTAGCATAGCCTCTTGTGTCTAGTGACACATGAAATAAATTTCTAACACCTGCTACATGGTCACAGGTGTGTTGAAGGAATGAATGATTACACGAGTCATCTAGTCATTCCTTCTTATAACATATGAGGAAATGCACAATATTTATCCGATAATTAGCTCGTGGCAGAGCCAGGATTAAAACCCAGAGACAGCCAAGAGGCCCCTTGCCTTGAACTAGGAATGACCTGAGCCCGAGCATAGGCTAAGGTCCCGGCGCAGTTCCTTCTTTGATAATGAAACTTCCTTGACCTAGAAATGAACCTGGGTGGTGCCGTTAACTGATCGAGGGTCAGACAGGGACAGACCGGCTGACACTGCCTAGTACTTCCCACTCTGCCATCGGGAGTCTTTGCCTGGGTCTCCTAGAAAGTTAGTTTGTGGGAGTTTTTGCCCCGTAGATTCTGACGGTGTGACCCTGAGTCACATTTGTCCGATGCAGTGCTGTCCAGGATCGTCTAGCACCTCCTAGGCAACTTTGACTAATTACATTTAAATTAAATAAAATCCGGTGGCTCCATTGTAGTAGCCACATTTCAAGTGCTCAATAGCCTCATGTCGCCAGTGGCCCCCATGTCGGACAGCGCAGCAGGAAAGAGGAAATTTCCATCATTGTAGAAAGTCTCATTGGACACTGCTAGTCTAGAACCACCAGACTTCTAGGGGCAGGTGTGTGTGTTATTGAGCATTTACTATATGCCAGGCACTGAGCTCACTTTGCATAAGTATCAGCTCATTTAATTATTTTTTAAAAAAATACGTTTTTATTGATTTCAGAGAGAGAAAGGGAGAGGGNGTGTGTGTGTGTGTGTGTGTGTGTGTTATTGAGCATTTACTATATGCCAGGCACTGAGCTCGCTTTGCATAAGTATCAGCTCATTTAATTATTTTTTAAAAAAATACGTTTTTATTGATTTCAGAGAGAGAAAGGGAGAGGGAGAGAGAGAGAGAGAAATATCAATGATGAGAGAGGCATTGATCAGCTGCCTCCTGCACGCCCCCTGCTGGGGATCAAGCCCGAAACCCGGGCCTGTGTCCTGACCGGGAATCAAACCGTGACCTCCGGGTTCATAGATCGATGCTCAACCGCTGAGCCATGCCAGCTGGGCACCTCATTTAATTCTCGCAACAGCCCAGGGAGGCAGGTGCAATTATTATCCTCAGCATACAGGGGAGGCAATCGAAGTTCAGAGAGGTTAAGCCACTTGCCCAAGGTCACACAGCAAAGAAGCGTTAGAGTCAGGATTTGAAACCGGGTCTGTCTGTTCACTGCTGAAATGCATCAGTCCCTGTGGCTTCTGAGGTTTAAATCAAGTTTAAATCTGCCCCTGCGCCTGACCTTGTGTGTTAAAGAGAAGAGTCACTACAGGGACCACCAAATCTGTCACTGTGATCATTTAAGAAAACTTCCCTTCCCTCCTCCCTTCCATTTCTTTTCCTTCCTTTCCCCTTCCTTCCTTTTTCTTTCTTCTCTCCCTGTCACCTACCCATCCTTAAGCATGCAAGTTGGACAGTGACAGGTCACTGCTGGAGCACCGGAGGTGGGGTCTGGAGATGCCCTGGAACTTGCTGGCACAGAAAGGGGCAGGGGCACCCCAGGGCGCTCAGGGCAGTAGCTATTCACCAGTCAGTACAAAATCATTTCAATATCTTAACTAGCATGACCCTCCCAGAGACCTCCAGTGTGCCTGGCATGGGGTCCCCAAGCCAGCAGGACCCAGGATTTTGTGGGACCCTAGCCCTGAGAAGAGAGGCTAGATCAGCGCCTGTCAAGGCCTCGCCCACTCACTGCTGAGGACCACGTGTCTATCCCACCCTGCCACTCACCGGGGGGCCTCCTCCGTGGCCTCCGTGGGACACCAGGCGGAGACTTCACAGGTCTTCTGGTTCCCTTTATACACTACACACCTTCCGGTCTGGATTCCTGCGGGGTCGGGAGGCAGAAGCACACGCGTGAAGGAACCGGGGGGGAACTCTCTGCCCGGGCGAGAGGCTGTGATCTCAGCCCAGGCGGTTCCGGGGTCCACGAAACCCCAGCTGAGCCACGAGCTTATTAAAGAGGCGTCAGAGAGAACACGGCCGATCGTGGATGCTGTTGGCTCTTTGGGATTCTTTGCAAGAAAAGGTACCCGAGAGGGGAGCTGGACAGGGGGCATCCTCGCGCCGGGGATAATCGGACCAGAACTTGGCCCCCGGTTGGGCACCCAGGTCCCTCGAAGAGTGTACAGCATGTGCCAGGGATGCGCAGCGCCACGAATAAACGTGGCACATCTTCCTGGAGCATCGGGTCAGTTAAAGATTCCCAAGGGCAGCCCACCCGGCGTGACTCAGCGGTTGGGCATCGACCTGGGATCCAGGAGATCGCGGTTCGATTCCTGGTCAGGCCCGGGCCTGGGTTGCGGGCTCCATCCCCAGCAGGGGGCGTGCGGGAGGCAGCCGNGGGAGATCGCGGTTCGATTCCAGGTCAGGGCACAGGCCCGAGTTGCGGGCTCGATCCCCAGCAGGGGGCGTGCGGGAGGCAGCCGATCAGTGACTCTCATCATTGATGTTTCTCTCTCTCTCCCTCTCCCTTCCTCCCTCCGAAACCAATAAAGGCATATTTTTAAAAATTAAAAAAAAATTTAAATTAAAAAAAAAGATTCCCAAGGGCAAAGTTAAATAGCAAGTACTGTTAAAACGGTCTCTATACCAACTCAGACGCACGTGTTTTCTGGCGAAAGAGGAAACATTCAAGTGCCCTTTTGTGTGTGTGTTTCATAACCACTAACAGGTCTCCTTTCTTTTTTTAAAAATTCCTTGATATGGTCACTTTTTATTGCCATGNTTCATAACCACTGACAGGTCTCCTTTCTTTTTTTAAAAATTCCTTGATATGGTCACTTTTTATTGCCATGTGCCCTTTAGGTAAAAGCAGGAGACGTGGACATTCTGCAGGTTAGTACGGGCATGGCCCCAGGTGCCCTGGGGGTACAAGTTCGAGCTCCTCAGCCTTTGGGGAAATTCAAGACAGAAAGTTCAGAACACGCGGGTGCTGTTTCTGTCTGTCGGAACCCTGGAGGTGCTAATTCTGCAGGGTTTTCGGGAGCGCTCCTCACTGGGGAATTAGTCACATTCACGTCAGCAGCTGGCCCCCCGGGGACAGAGCCAAGGCACAAGGCAGACACGGGCTCGCCCACAGCCTGCTGAGGGTGGAAGAAGGCAGCTGAGGGCCAGGGTCACAGGTCTCACCGTTAGGGCACTGCGAATGTCACTAGGATGCCAGACGGCCCACCCCGGGAGTCCCAAAATCAAACAGAATTTACCTTTGCTCTGCGGGTCCATCCAGCCCTTCTTACAACCCCGGTCAGAGGAACAGAGTGTCCTGCGGGTGGGATACTGCAGGGAGAAGGGCGGGGTAGCGAGGGGTCAGTATCGTGTGTCCCTAAGATGTGGAAAAGCGGGCGTCTATGTCCACACAAACGCTGTGCACAGATGGGCACGGGAGCGCTATTCACAACAGGCAAAAAGTGGAAACAGCCCAAATATTCAATCAGTGAAAGAAAGGACCAATAAAAGGCAGTCCACTCATGCGGTGGAATATTATTCAGCCGTGAAAAGGGGCGAAGTGCTGACTCATGCCACCACAGGGGCAAACCTTGAAAACGCTGCAGTAAGTGAAAGAAGTAAAAGACCACACAGCGCAGGGCTCCGTTCACTGAACTCTCCAGAACAGGCACATCTACGGAGACAGAAGGCAGACCAGCGGTCGCCGGGGCTGGGGGAGTGGGCAGAGGGGACTGACGGCTGATGGGAATGGAGCTTCTTGCAGGGGGATGAAAATGTTCTGAAATTAGATGGTGGTGATGGTTTCTGAACCTTCTCCCACCCAGTCCAGACCACCCACACCCCACAAAAGAGGCCCAGTAAGCGCTGGCGAGCTCGGAGACACCCCGGGTCTCAGTTTCCACATTCACGCGCCCTTGCCCTGACCTGTGCCTCCTCCTGGACTCTTACCACCAGTCGGGCTGCTCTGGGCCCCCCCCCTTACCTCGGGACACAGCCCCTGCACCTGGTTCTCCGTCTTGAGAAAGTTCGTCATCACAAAGAAGGAGTTGCCCTGCGGAGAACGGGAGAGAAGTCCCAATGCAAAGCCTTTGAGGCTGGAACCACTTAATTACCCAGCTCCCTAAGTGCCTGGGGGCGAACCTCTCCACTCCCCTAAACTTCAGTCTGGAGATTGGGGTCTGGGAGCCGACTTGGGACGGCAGGGAGGCTTCATATCGAAGCTGGATGAGCTGCCCCGCTGAGCCCAGAGCGAGCAGAGGCCCAGGGAAACTGAGCAGCACTCATTTTCTGTTCCAGCCTCCCAGCAAAATCCCCTTCAATGGAAACGCGGGAGACCTGGGGAGGGAAAAGTGGGGGTGTGGGCTTCCTGGGAGTGCTGCTCCGGTTACCTGGGACTTTGATGAAAGGGCAATAGGGCACCCCGCCCCCTGGGAACTGGCTGGAGCCTTTAGTGGCCCACTGTTAGAAGCAAGCAGATAGCAGTTTGGGTTTTATGGTTTGGCAAAGCTCCCCAGCTCCCCAGAGGCTGCAAATGTGCCCTTTTGTCCCTCCCACCCCCCATCTGTTCTCGAGTCCATGCGTCGACTTCTCTTTTTCATGATTCTAATTTCATTTTCTCTTCTTGCAAAGCTAGGCCATGCACGCCCTTTCTCTGTGATCCCCGCTCTTCCTTTGTCATCTAAGATCCTTCCTGTGTGCAAAAAAACGCACCCACGAGTGTTTTCCTGGAGCCGTTTCTGTTTCTCAAAGCGCCACACAAACAATACGGAAGGGCCGGTCCCCTCCGGGCGGAAACTTCTTTGCCCTTGTGAATCTAGGCAGACCTTGCAGGCTGCGTGGCCCAGCTTCTAAAAAGCCGTGTGCAAGGCGGGGCGTGGGTGCGTCCAGTCGAGTTTTCAACGCACCGGGACACTCAGCTATTTTGAGAAACCCTGCAGGACCTGATAAAGCAAAGCATCATCTCCTCTGAGCTGCTGGATCTGACCCAGTTCTGCAATTTTTAGGTTTTCTCAGCTGGGATTTTTCACAGGGCTTTTTAAACGGGGCCAGTGTCTTTCTGGAGTAAGGCTCGAGGTTCCAGGGTTGGGGGGCGGGGGGGCGGCGAGGGCTCTGGCGACAGTGAGCGGGGACAAGTCCTGGGAGGGCGTGACCAGCACTCACCTGCACGGGGAAGGTGTAATCGGCCGTGTCCAGGACGCTGTGCACCACCTTTTTCAGGCCGCTCCCCAGGGTCTCCTCTCTCACCTCCGCTACGCCCTTCACCTTGGTGTGCACGGAGCTGATGACATCTTCCTTCCGCTGGTACAGCTTGTCGCTCACCAGAGCAAAGCTGCGGGGCAGGCACAGAAGAGCATCAGGGGGTTTCACCGACGGGGACACGGTGCCATGGTTTTGGACGGAGGCCGCGCCTCCCTTCCAATCCTGGCCTCGCTGGGTAACTTCGGGCGGGCGGCCTGCCTTCCCTGCGCCTCATTTTCCTCGTGCGCAAGACGGGGCTGTTGTGAGAGGGAGGCACGTACGCGAACTCCACAGTATTGCCTCTGGCACACAGTGAGCGCTCGCCACTTACACTATTGTCCCAGGGCCAACCTCAAACAGAGGCCGCTACAGAGCCTAGCTTACGGGACAGCTTCTCAGACACCAGAGTCCACTCCTGCGTCGGTCCCCAGCTTTGTTCTGGGGCTCCGTAACCCATCAGTCCCTGAGGGGGTGTCCAGCAGCTCAGCCACCTGTTTCCCAGAGGGGCACCCGGTTTATAAATAACACTGATAAGGGGCGCCACCCTTTACTGAGCATTTAGCATGTGCCAAGTGCTCTGCACGCGGGGTCTCCTTCCATCCTCATAACAATAGGGGAGGGTTACTGTGACCATCACCCTCCGGGCTCAGAGAGGCGAAGGAACTTGCCCAGGGTCACACAGGCAGGCAGTGGCGGAGCCGGGGCCCTTGGCTGGCCGACGGGACAGCCCAGAGCCCCGCCTCTTGCCCGCGGGCTATCTGCGCATCCCCATGCGGCTCTGCCTCTGGTTTCCTGCCTTGCGGGCAGTTCATTAGCTGTTCATCCCTTATTTGGAACATGAATCTAAGTCATTATGGTGAGGGGACTAGAATGGGGAGTGGAATTGATCATTCAAACTGGTAGATTTATTCCCCCCGCTTACGTTTCCCCCGACTCCCATTGCCGGTGGCGTCACACGGAGTATTTATGCTAAATGCTTTCTGTAGTCACTCAGGGGGTGTTTGGTCCCTTCCCTGTGCCCAGACCCTAATATCTGAATGACACTGGGACGTCTAAGCCAATGGCTGCCCTCTGGCGGCTGACCTTGGAAACCAAGACCGTGGGTCACGACCTGGCCCCAGGTGTCCTCAATGCAGGTCACCTGGGGCGCTTTCGGAATTGCAGCCCCAGGCCCGGGTACCTTGTACCTCTTTTAAAGTTCCCCGGCCGATTCTAATGCACAGCCGGGGTTGCCAGCACCCCTGGGGGACCCATGAAAAGACAACCCATAGTTGCCAACATGGCATCCACCTAAAGGAGCGCGTTCCCTCGGGCCCAGCAATTCCGTTCTCAGGTGTGTGCCCCGGGGACACCCTCACGCGTGTGCCGAGAACTGGAGGTGCCCTGAAAGTCCTTGAGCAGTGAATGGGGAAATGAATTGTTGGATTCGTACAGTGGGATGCCCCAGGGCAGCGAGAACGATGGCCCTCTGCGCGGGTCAGTCTGGAAGTAGCGTAACTTTGAGCAAAGGAGGCGGCCACACTGCGATGCGAGGTCTAAAGGCACCCCCGCAACGCCATCTACTCCAATACCCCTCGACACGTATTCGCAGCAGCACCCGTCACGGTCGCTCAAGGGTGGCGACGACCCACAGGCTCCTCAGCGGGCAGACGGAAAAGCCAAACGCGGCCTGTGGTTCATCACTCAGCCGCAGACGGGGCGACGTCCTGGACCACGCTGGGCCGCGGGGCCTCGGAAACCGCGCAGAGCGAAGGAGGCCAGGCGCGGGGCATCGCGGGCAGTGGATCCCGTGGATGTGAAAGATCCAGAATGGGGGATCCATAGAGACAGGGAGTGGGTCGATGGTCTCCAGGGCTGGGGGTGGGGAGAAACGGGAATCAGCTGCCTACGGGGCACAGGGTTTCTTTAGGTGATAAAAATGTTTTGGAACTAGACAGACGTGGTGGGTCCACAACGTCTTGCACGAGAAACGCCACCAAGTCGTTCACTTTAAAATGCTTGGTTTTATGGTATAGGAATTCCACCTCAAAAAAAAAAAAGAAAGGAAACTACTTTTTATAGACATGGACATATGCTGGAGAAATATAAAAACAACCCTAGGATGGCAAGCCCCCAATTCAGGATGATATTTATAAGGGGGCAGGAAAGCGAACAGGATAAAGGCTGGGTCTGCAGGGAGCTACAACGGGATTAGTAATGTTTTGTTTCCCAAGTTGGGCGGTGGGAGACGGGTGTGTATTATACCATTCTCGGTACATTTTAGTATTTCTATAACATCAATTTTAAAAGAAAGCCCATCAAGAAAGACGTTGGGGCAAGAGATCCAAGCCCTGAGACCCCGTGAGCACGTCCCAGACGGAGCTAGTCCCGGTGACCCCGCCGACGGGCCGCTAACACGGCTCAGCGACGCGTCTCAGCCCCGCGTCAGCGCGCCCGCGGCCCTGTCGCATAGCGCGGCCTTTCCCCGGAATAACCTGGGCTCCGTGGGCCCACCGCTTGGGAAGCTCGCTTCTGGTCTCTCATATCCGTCCCAGAACGGACGGCGGGCTCCAGATCAGCCTCAGCGGAATCCGGCCCTCAGGGAAACCCGAAGACCTGTCTTTGTATAAACACGAACACACCGTGTGAAGAATTCAAATGCTTCCGAGCCACATCAGAGGGAAGGAGTGCGCAGTACCCTGCCCTATGGAAAGAACACTGAGGACGGTCCCCTCTCAGGGGCCGCGGGTGTGGTCCCTGAGTGATGGGACCTGGCTTCCTGCTCCCCGTGACCTCCTGGCTCTAGGAGGCTACAGTTCTGAGCACCCTCAAGCCTGCAGAGCATGGATCTCCGGGGCAGGAAGGGGCTGGGGCTTCACCAGGCCGCGTGGGGTGGGTAGGTCAAGGTGATGGCGGGAGGAGAGCTGAAGAGACTGGAAGGTGGGGGGGCTCACAGGAGAGAAGCCTGGCTGAAAAGGCTGGGGCAACGGAGGGGAGAAGGGGGAGTGGAAAGCGAGGTTAGCCCTTGGAGCCCTCAGGCTGGCACACTACCCCTGACTCACCAGATGTAGACGAGAGTCCCCACCATAAAGAGGTTCTTCAGAGTCCCGATCCACGGGCTCTGAATGCGGACGACTCTGGCGACTTTGACAGACGGGCATATCTGGGGACACTGGCCCCAGGCTGGCATGGTGAGAGGCCTCAGAGCGCCCCGGCAGGAAGTGCCTCTCAGCCGAGCCTGGCTCTCTCCCTCCCTCCGGCGGCGTCTGGGCCCCCGAGCAAAGGTTACTCTAAAGCGGCCCGAGAGCGAACAGTTTCCCAGCTGGCTAACCACCACCTAACCCCGGGCGACTGGCCCGCCCCTCAGACTGGGCTCCGGGCCTTCCTGGCCTCGGAAATGTTGGGCCTGCAGCCTCTGCTTCTTGCGGGGAAAACCCCAAGAGAAGAATCAGACTGCGCCCATCCCTGGCCCACTCGCCGGGGGGGGGAGGTCAGCAAACGGCCAAGGGCAGCAAGAGACGACCTGAGAAGAAAGTGGCGGAGAGCCTGCACCCCCAAAGCAACTGAAATACCGACTGTATCAGTTACCTGCTGCTGCTGTAACAAAATACCACGAACCTAGTGGCTTAAAACAACACAAACGTATTTTGTGTTGCTTAAGGTTCGAGGGGTCCTATTGCTAAAATCAAGGCAATAGCAGGGCGGGTTCCTTCTGGAGGCTCCACGAGAGACTCTGTTCCTCACTTCTTCCAGCTTCTGGGAGCCGCGGGGCACTCCCGGGCTCGCGGCCTTGTCCCGCCAGCCCCTGCTCCCGTTGTCACGTCTCCTTTCTCTACCTTTGACCTTCCTGCCTCTCTCGCTTTTTCTTAAAAATCTTTTTTTATTTTGCCTCCTGCATGCCGCCTCCTGGGGACCGAGCCCACAACCCAAGCATGTGCCCTGACCGGGAATCAAACCGTGACCTTCTGGTTCATAGGCTGACGATCAACCACTGAGCCACGCCAACCGGGCTGCCTCTCTCTTTCAAGGACTCTCGTGATTCCATGGGGGCCACTGAGATAATCAAGGCTGACCTCTCCAGCTCACGACCTTGAACTTCATCACATCTGCAGAGTTCTACCGTATAAGTTAACACATCCAGGTTCCTGATCTTGGGGGTCGGGGAGGCAGCTGGTCTCCCCATGGGAGGCTCAGTTTATTCTCATGAGCGCTGTGCTTCATTGCCCCTCCACCCGCCTTCCCCATGTTGCCAGGCACATACTCGCACAAGCATCTTCTCACACCTAAGGCACATTTTCTACGTTAAGGAAAACTTGCAGATGTTACCGTTTCATAGCTGAAACCACAAAAGGCTGGACCGTTGCACCAGCAAAGCGAGAGTGCACATGCTCCCTTGATGAAGGCTTGACGAACAAGAGTGTGGCTGTGTGGGCTTGGCTGAGAGGGTCAAGGCCTAGACGCCGTGTTGGGGACACAGAGCCCGAGGAATCAGGGCTGCTATTTTGAACAAGAGGAGAAATAAGCCCTGGCAGGTTTGGCTCAGTGGTTAGAGCCTCAGCCTGAGGACTGAAGGGTCCCGGGTTCGATTC